CTGTCTGCCCCTCCTTTCACTCACTCCTCTCCACCAATGCAGCACTGATGATCTGGAAATGCTTTGCGGTTGTCACCCCATCCCTGGGAGAGGACAGGGGCCCCGGGGGCCCAACAGTCAAGCTAGGAAAAGCAAATCCCCAGGTCCTTTTGTTCAAGGTCATGTAGCATATCAGCACCAGGGCCAGGAACAGGCCTCCTGGCTCCCAATTCTGTGCCATCTCCTGAGAGCTCCTGCAGGTCCCTACAGCAGGACCTTTTTGGCATGTGAGGCCTAAAGATCCCCAATGCCCTGCAACTCATGGAGACTTCCCCTCCCAGCTCTACTAATGGGCAGCCCAAGACCACTGAACTCTTTTAAAGCAAGGGTTCAGAATGGCCTCCAACTGCCTCTTTGTGCTGACCCATCAGGAACAGATTCCGAGAATGAAGCAAGTCCCAAGACCTTTCCCAAAATGATTACAGGTGGCTAAAGCCTGTTTTCTCCTCTTCCCATGGGTGTGGTAAGAGCACCCTAGGAGCACCTAAGAGAGCAGAGCACCGGCAGTTCACGCCACCACCATTCTTTTTTGCTTCCTGACTGAGAAGCCTAGCTAGCTTCACACCTCAGCTTGTCACGCTCCCGTGCTCCCCACCTCCACCTTCTCAACGAGCTCTTTTACTGTGGGAATCAGAAAGGCTCAGACACGGGGACTAGCTCGAGCAGAGTGAAGGAGCAGCTGGTCCAGAGGAGAGAGAACCCTAGAGGCTGAGGCTGCTTGATGAAGGAGAAGGAGTCAAGAAGAAGCCGTCACCAGTGACTATAAATACTAGTTTGGACATACACTGTATCTGGCAGGTCCAGCTTTTTACTGGAAGTGGTTTTTCCACTGAGGGTAAAATGAAATTAAATGATTATTAAATAAAAGTAAGGTTTTTCCATATGAGCAAATTGGCAGTTAAGCAAGACAGGAGTGTTCCCAGCCTTAAATTTCCTCTTATCCAGTGACCTTTACTCGCTTTGGGGATGGAGGCAATGAGGCGAATGTGGTCCCTGTTAGAGGAAGCACAGATTTAATGCTCTATGTCTCCTTTAGCTGGATACAGATGTCTTGGCCTAGCCACAGTAAGCAGCCCAGCTCCCAACTCCATCAATGACCTAAAACTCCAGCTCCTTTTCAAAGGAGGCAAAGAGGGCTGAAGATTGTTTCTCCCAAGCTACAGATTCAAGCTTCTTGTTTACAAGGCAGTGTGTCTTTGCGATGGAAATGCACGGTGTTTACTTCAGGCTGTAGGTGTACAAATTGGGGAATAACTGGTCCAGAGGGAATGGCACCAGCTTCAGCTAAAAAAAGCCCTCTATATCTCGGGATGATTTTGCTTCACAAAAGCCGCTGCCCAAGAGCCCCATTCAGGAGATCTGATGCAACATCCTTTTCTACTGGATGTATAATCCGGTCCATTCAACTTTGCAAGAAAGTTAAGTATGTAGGAAGTAAACAACCACTGGGCACAAGGAAGAGAAAACAGCCTCATCTCCCTGAAGAGGAAACCGTTCTGAAGGGACGGGAAAAACGAGTCCTTCTCTCTCCAAGGAGGAGGCGCTGTGCTGTGTGGCTCACACAGCTGTGGCTGGAGGTGCCCAGAATGGACAGAATGGAGGTGGGCTGGCATTCGTAAACAGTGTGAGATGAAGAAGAGGAAGAAGTGGGGGAAGAAAGAAGGAAGAAAAAGACGACAAGAGAAGTGTCAGCATGGAGTTTCAAGAAGTTAGCCCAGACTTTTGGGAGAGGATGGGAGAAATGCCACCCTCCACACTGACAACAATAATTCTCCTTCCCAGTCATTCCTCAATACATTTTAGATATGGTTTTCTCTCCCACCTACTTTTTTTCTCTTCTCTGTCCATCCCCTTCCCACCCATTCTGGAAGGCCCAAGGCCCATTTCCCCCAGGAAGACCTCAGTAACTCCTCTGGCCTCACTGCCCTTCCTGACCATTGAATGACTGCCCTATACAATTTGGCCTTTGAACAAAGGCCATTAGTCTCCAATTACTTCATGTGAGCAACTCCAGACCTCCCAGAGAGAAGGTAAGTTCATCATGAGCAGGGATCATGTTATAGACAGTTCCAGAAGGACAAGCTGCATAGGATAAATATTTGCTGGAATGCCTGGAACAGATGGGCAGAACTGAAAGGGAACCCAGAGTCCAGTCCCCTCATTTTTACAGATGAGGAAACTGAGGCCCAGGGAGGTGAAATGGTATGTTCTAATTTAAAGTCAAATACTGGCTTGCCTAATACTCAGTCCTAGAAGAATATAAATCACTAATAATTCAAAGGTGAATGGAGTCCTTTATGAGTAAGCCCTCTATGCCAGTCCTCCTCAAGACTGAACATTGGCCCAAGCACAAACCTAAGAGCCACATAAATCCACGCTGTGTGTGTAAAATTGTGTCCCAACCCTATAATAACCGACCTAAGCTGTATGTAAAGATGAAGACACGAATACCAAGCTATCAAATCCATGCTGCAAATGTTTAATTAATATCTAGAAAAATACCCTGGCAAACATAGCTTCACCTTAAAATTCTGTTTCACTGCTCTCCTCAAGAAGAACGCAGAAGCTGGAAAGAGAAGGGGAGCACAGCGGGGAGAGCACAGAACCTTCACCTACAACTTGCTCCCTTCCCAGAGGATGAACAATTTAGGAAGGAGGTTTGGGTGCCTCTCCAGTGGCATCGAGGGTACTCATCACGCCCTGTGGACCCATTATTGGAGTCACACCACTGAAGGTTAGGATAGCTAACCAAAGCTTAGGCAAATATCCCTGTGAATTTTATGAGGTTTATTCTCTGTTTAATGTTCTAGAGTTCAGAAGATATAGACACTTTCGAGGCATCTTAGTGCAAAATCAGTATGGTTTTGAAAAACCCTACCTAGAATGACTCGGAATGGACAGATATTTCTAGCTCCGGGAGTGCTGGGAACTTTCCCTCACCGCCTCCAACAGCTCTATTTGTCTGGGACCTGCTGGGCTTGAGGGACGACCTAGATGGTCATTCCCAATCCCTCCCTCCTGCTTCTCCTTATCCAGGGTTCTCCCTGTGGTAACAGGTTAGGAAAGACGAGCTCTCTGAATCCTTTCCATGGTGACATAGAAAGAGATTTCAAAGGAAAAGATCAAAATTCAAATGTACCATCACTCAGTGGTCAAAATTATCTAGAACTTTGTTTTCTCCTCTCCCCTTACCCCTCCAAATCACAACCAAAAGGAAAAGCAGAAAGAGCAAGAATAAAGACAACTGAGAATAGGGATTCAAGTAGACCTCACGGGTCTCTGAGAAGACTGGTCCTGGAGGCCACACCTGGCTCAGGTCCTCGCCAGTTTACTTCCAGGGTCAACATTTCACGTACACACACACTGCTTTCCACAGGGACCACGAACCAATTCCAAGTGACCACACTCCCTCCCAGGAGCACAGCACTTCTGGTGATGTGTCATTCCTGAGAATAGACGTTTTCCTCTTTTTAACCAACTTCAGTTGCCTTAGAGGTTTAGGCGATGAAACGAAGGAGCAAAAACCAAGAGCCCACTCCACTCCAGAAACTCCCAAGCAAAAACTCACACCTGCCAATCTTACAACCATCATGGGGTTAACCAGCTGAAAGCCCCAGCACGACCACTAAACCCACAGGTGGGAAGCTCTGTACTGTGGGAATAGATACTCAGCCCCATTTGGGACCACGCTGAGAACAGACCCCATGTGTAAGAGAACCCACAGCCCCTCCTTGGGCCCCCAAACAAATATGAGGTTGACACACGTCTCTGGGACGCGGCTTGAATTCTCAACCCTTGGTGGGTCTCTGGAGCCGCAATTTTCTGTTACCCGCCCAACAGCGCTTTCTAGAAGTGTCATCAGATGACAGATGACGCCACCTATCCGTGAGGATTCGGGGGTGGCTCGGGCCATCCATTATGGGTTCACAGCTGTTCTGGCATGAATCGAGTCCCAGTGATGAGGAGATCATCGATACGAGGGGTCCTACAGCTTTAAGAAACGCTCTGGGCATCTCAAAGTTTTCAGAATGCAAACTATGTCAGCCTCGAAAACAAGAGGCATTGCATCATTGTGGCAGGAGAAACAAAGCCAGCCCCCTTTTCTTAACAGACAAAAAAATGATTGTTTTAATAAGGAGAGAGACATCCGTCATTGACTCTCACTTCATTCACACTTCTCTCCAACCCCATCCATCTTCAGAGCTAAGAGATGACAGAGCCCAGCTCACTCCGACCCCTGCTCTGGCCCTGGCTGCCCACCCCAAAATTACCCAGGCCTCTCGACCTGCCCATTTCGGTCCACAGTGAGCACTTCCCCAGACCTGCCCTTTCCCCTAGATCAGGCTGCCAAGCCTCAGCAATGCTCAAGGAGCTGCTCTACATCCAGCCACTAGCGACGGGCACCTTGCGACCCCGGCAGGACAGGCAGGGCGCGGCCCGATCACCTTCCTAAACCATCCCTCTCTCCCTCATGGCTGAGAACTGCCTGAGACCAGGGAGGTGTAAGGGGGCAGGAGGCCACACCAACAGCCCAGAATGCAAATCCCTCCACCCTCCTGAAACGTTTCTCCCAGCATTATCTGCGAACAAAAGTTCTCCTTGCAGGCGGTGTCTGCATCACTGCCTTCACTGTTAGCAACACCTGCTCGGTGTCAGCTTGCAGAGTCGTGGCGTTATCTTTCTGCTGTGTCTGCAGACGCGAACTCCGGCACAATGGGGCCCGGCGCTTGGGGCTCACTCCAGTCCCTCTCCTCCCACCCCTGCCATTCACCTCCACTACAGCAAAGGACCCCAGATAGCTAAATAAAAGGGGCGGCCTCAAACACAGGGAAAAAACCTTAGGTCTCCGGCGTGAATTGCCAACACCAACCCCCCCTTCCCCTCCCCTTTTCCTTAAGACCTGATGGTCTTCAGTCACACATCTTAAAAGAAAAACAAAAAACAAAAACACAAAGACCTACTTGTCTCAAGTCGATGAAGGCCAACTGCAGCGTGTCCTCCTGGAACCCAGGCACCGGGCCGGATCTGGCAAACTCTGTGGGAAAGAAAAGAGGATGAAAAGCGCCTTTAACTAACCATGGACAGGGAGATTGGCAGACGGATGACGGGGAAGACAAGAGAGGCTGGGGGAGAGGAGGCCTGAGCTTCTAAGGAGCCATGTCTCTCACCCTTCAGCTTCTTTGTTTGCCCTTCAAAATTCGTGTCATCAAAACACCATTAATTCCAGCGTCCTGACAGCAAGGAAACTGTACTGCTTCGACCTGAGAGTTCTTCCCATGAGCTGCGCGGGGCTGCAGAGCGTTTGTTTGGTGAATGGACAAACAACTTGCAAAGGAGAAGGGAGGGGGAGAAGAAAAAGAAGTTTTTCCTCTCAACACAATCAAATCTTCAGCTGTGAAACTCTTTTCAGTTCCGAAAGCTATTTATATTTTAGGTCGCTCAAGGAATTTTCTAATTTCACGCCTGTCACCTCATTCCCCAAGCATTTATCGAAAAATATTCCCTACCATACCATTAATTATGCCCTCACTGATTATTTGTATTATCTCACGGGTGTGTTATTGCCAGTATATGCATGCGTGCACACACACACACACACACACACACACGTAGCAACAACTATCCCAATTCCACACTCAATTTTTCAGCACAGGACCACTTGTAGATATGAAGAGGCCTACTGGAATACCCTTCACCCTTCACAAAAGCAAAGAGAACATTCGCACATTTCAAGCTTTCTGTACTCCACCCTCAAATTTCTACATCAGAGCCCTTCTCTGAAAGTCCCTCTACCCTTCCTTCCACTCCAAATTGGTTTCAACTCAAAGAGACCACGTAAAGTCAAGATGCCATTTACAGGAGCGCCTGGGGTACATGTTCAGTTTATGGCTCTGGCTTCGAAGTCGTTAACAAGAAGATAACTACACGGGGCTGTGGGGACATATACAAGTCTCGGGGAAGAATGTCAAGTTTTATTGCTCAAGTCCTCTTACATATGAAATCAAAAGGTCTTGCTTTGGCCCACAAACAGCAGCAAAATCAAGGGGCAAGATGGCAACTCTGACTTCATTGCGTGCTGGGAAGCAGAGATGTAAAAGGCATTTATCATTGATTCAATATTTGTCTTGAGAAAAATTTAGGAATACTCCAATGCAAGATATGATAGGAGAAAGTTGTATACTCAACTAAAGCTTTGGTCTACACCTGAATTTCAGAATCAGTTTGCAGAGATTTACTATCATGTGTTTTCTTTAAAATGAAATTAACAAGATCCAGTCAAGTACTGACATCTATGTTGGGGCTGGATATACTCAAATGGTCACGTACAAGCAGTTATTAAAGTTAGTGGCAATAATATCTGCTCTATAAAATAAAAATGTTTTTGATCTGGGGACTTCTTATATATACAGGGTCTTCATAAAGCCCATATACATTTCTATACTTCAATCATCTGTTTCAGGTAGAACAGAAACCATTTATAAGCAACAGTTAAAAGTAACTGGGTAAAGTTACACAATTATATACAACATCCTTATTCCAGGTCCTATAATTAAAGAAAAATACCTATTACAGACAAGAAGGTAAATGACCCTCAGGGAGATACTATTCAAATTTAGTGCCTGTAACACCACTTACAGATGAGTTCTATGATCTCTTCAAATTGTGCAAGCTTGAAAATGACACAAGGCCTTTACAAAGACCTTTCAGACACAGAAAGAACGGGTACACATAATTCAGTGCGTTCATGATCTCATCCAGGTGAATCTCATCCGGTGTTACTTGTGTCCATATATCTTCCATAAGGGTCCGTCCAATGAGTCCGCTGCTTTCCTCTTGGTCTCTAAACATTACACGGGACCCCCGAGTGGCACAAAGTTTCTCCACCCATATATTAGTCTTTCCTCTTGATGTGAGATTTGTTCACATCCCTTTCTGGTCATGCCTCTCCTTGATGCCATTGCCTCTCACTTACTTTGGAGTGAGCCTGCCAATGTTGCTAGGATTTAATTCCTCCAAAAGCATATCATTGGATTGGTTCTGATTTTAAGCACAGACAATTAACCTAGTTTTCTAGACTGTCTAAAACCATTTGATTCTCAGCATACTCAACCCATCTTTTTCTTTCATGATGTCCCTATGACTACAAAAGCAGGACTGGGAGACATTTTGCAATTTTCTTTGTTTTGTGGGTTGCCGTACCCCAAGCATTTATCATCTAGTCACCCACATACTGGTGTGGTTTTATGAACACTTCTGGGGGAGTTAGTACCGTACTTGGAAAACAAACAGATTCTGCTCCTGAGACTGAGCTCAAACCCTTGTCAGAAGGAATGCACACAAAATCCCCTGACAGCCTGAAGATGATGCCATTCATAAGGATGTGCTCAGCAGCAGCTCGATGTGGGTTGAATTCTTTCACCTCTCTTGTCTTGTTTACTCATCAGTATAAGAAGGGGGCCCTTCTGGCTCAAAATCTATGGATCTATGAAGCCATCTTCAGGCTCTCCACACTTACAGTCTTCCATTATGATTTTCTCCTTTGTTCCTCAAGGTACCACTGAACCACAATCATGCAGGAAATGCGACTTTAAAGTGGAATCACAGAGCCTGAAGGGGGAATCTCAAAGGTGATCCAGGTTGACTTACACCTGAGTAAGACTCATCTTTACAGTGACTCCCTCCCCGCTAGCCTGCCAAGAGCTGGCCATCCAGCCTTGCTGCTAAGAACTCTAATGACTGGAAGGCTTACTAACTTTTGAGGTACCCCACTCTACTCTTGGACAGCTGTAATTGCTATGAAGAATTTCCCTCTAACATTAAGCGGAAATCTGTCTCTCTACAACTTCCACCCATTCCCCCTAGTTATGCCATTCAGGGCTGAGCAGAATGAGCCAAATCCCTTTTCTACATGACAGCTTTCAGTATTCTCCAGACTCAGCACTGCCAGTTACTTCAAGGAATGCACACCTGGCTCCTCTGGGGGCATTCCATCTTGTCAATACTATCCTTAAGATGAGGTGCCCAGATAATGTAAATATGGTCTGACCAGGGAAGAGAACGGTGAAACTCTAGACCTCCCCTCTAGATGCCATCCTTCTCTGGATGCATTCTAAGATCACGTGAGCTTTCTTGGTTATGATGGCCCATAGCTAACTCACCTCAAGCTTACAGTCCACTAAAACAACTAGGCCTTTTTGCCGTGAAATGGTGTCTCGTCATACCTCCTCCCTGATTGAGCTCGAGTTCACAATCCACACTCAAAACCCTCTCATCACACACACACACACACACACACACACACACACACACACACTTATCACCTTATACTGTCAGTGTTTGGCTTATAGCAGATAATTATTAAGAGATCAATTCACAGCATCACAGAATCTCAGAGTTAGGAAGGCTCTGAGTTAGCATCTGTTCCAGCCTCTGCCAGATGCAGGAAAAAGTCCTAACCACGTTCATCCCCACTCAGCTCTCTCTACATCATGTAGCTGCCTTCTGTCATTTTCAGACAAGTCTAATTATTAGGAAATGTGTCCTTATAGTAAGTCAGTGGTTTTGTTTTCTCAAACATGAGCTCAACTTTTGGAAGGGCTTTGTCGATGCCTCAGTCAAATGCTGGCCAATGTTTTAAGTGTCACACAGGAGTTTCACAATTAACCATGAGACCTAAGGATTGTACCCATGGAGCAGATGAGAAAAGTGGAGCCCCCAGTCACACATCTGCTAGTCAGGTAAGACTCAAATCCAGGTCCATTATGGATGCCACGCTGCTTCCACCAGTGATTTATTAAGTCAGAGACAAAGAAGGCAGTTCCAGACCAAGAGTTTGGACGGGAAGGAGGCTAACACATCCTCGTCTAAGATGTCTGACTATACCCAAAGCTTTGGGCCCAGCTAAAAGTACAATCTCTCATAGAGCCTTTCAAATGTCAGCTCACGTCCATTTCACATGACTGATGGCAAATGAGTTCCCTCACGAGAAGCCAGGAAGTATTTCAGCTCTGCTGGTTCTAACTCAGAAGGGCTGGGCTGCACAGCTGGACCAGGGCTGCTCCTGGTTGGTGAGCCAGCACCTATGGGGTTCCTGCTGTTGGGCTGGGCAGGAGAATTAGGAAAGAGACCTAAGGACAAGCAACGCGAAGCACTGAAAGGGTAAGCCACTAATAGGCCATGAGTTAGAAACAGCCCGAGACAAACCAAGCTGGCCCACAGGGCTTTAACTGAAGCAGAGACAATGAGAACCCAGGAACAAATTCCACCAAACAACAGTTATCTGACAAATGGCGTCAGCCTCCAACCTGTCCCAGAAAGAACGCCCGGCTCGCGTCAGACTGCCATCGGATCCCACAATGAGAGTAACGCTGCCAGCAATGTCAAGTCTGAGGCCTAGGAACCACAGTCTCTGGTTTAAATGTCATTGGACAAGGGTAGACCTCGACGGGGGCTGGCAGGCAAAATTAGCAGCCCTCATTTGTATGTTTCATATGCAATCCCACTAGGAGCCTTGGTTTATTTCCAAGAGCAAACTTACCAAGGCTTTTGGGGATTACAAATCAGGAAATGAGATTGTTCTTTTTAAAGAACAAAGCTCTTCTCCTCCAACTCTAATCCCCTGAATCAGGTTTCAGTTTGATTTTCTTCAAACAAGCAAAACCCTGCGATGACCTCAACCAGCAGCTCCCCGGCTAAACTTTTTCCACTCCTAGGCTAGCAGCAAGACAGAGAAAGCCACCTACAGTCTGTCCCCAGAGCAGACATTCAACAGCAAATAGAGGGAATCAGAGTGTGGCTGGCTGCAAAGAGTCCTCAGCCAGGCCTTGTGGTCAGGCCAGAAAAGTAATGGCTTTGCAAGGCATACCCACCAAGGCCACCCAGGGCTGGGGAGGGGGAGCTCGACCTCTTTTCCAGATTAGATCTCCAACGAAAGCAGTGAGAAATAGGAACTCAAGTCTGTTACAGCGCTCACGGCTGAGAAAGGAGACATTAAGAATTCTAACCACAAAAGGGGAGAGAGTAAGAGGAATGGAT